TTCATTACAATAAAGCAAACATTTTGCACTTGTTCTTTCATATATATCTTTAAAAGTGTTGGAGAAAATGCAAAAACAAGGAAAAGTCAAAATTGAGAACTTGACCTTGACTTCATTTTCTAAGTTAGGACCTACGGATCTCAAATAAAAAGATTCCAGGGTTATACGGTTAAAGGTTTATGAGTTAAAAAAAAACATACCGACAAATTTTTTTGGTAAAGGTAGATAACTCCAATAAAATTTCATCGAATTGCTTCGATCCAAATAAGCCAAAAATTCTTGAGGATGTAACAAACAATTTAGAAAAAGAATTTTGTCGATATCTTTTTTTGTTACGAAGGAGATGCACACACTTGATAAACAGTGAATAGGGAGATAACTCCTACTAAGAAAATTGTTCGGCTTAGCAGGGTGAAATTTAAAAGCGCATAAACTATACGATACAATATGAGAAATATTGAAAAATTGATCCTAGCATCATTCGTTTATAAATTTTCTCTAGTTTCTATGTTACCTCGGACTTCCATTTTTCATCTATTTGTTTTGTATGCATTTTGATTGAATTTGTAGGAAAACGGAGTAAATTTTATCTTGGAAGTTTTATTTTCCTCATTTGGATATGGAATGTTTTATTCTAAATTTAGGTTCGCGCGCGAGATGGTGTTGTGAAGTCACGTGACCCTCGAATATATATTCAGGGGAGACCTTTGAACAGAGCACATGTGTACTGATCGGACAAACATGACCACTATCGGTTTTATTATTTACAGGTCATTGATGACGGATCATGCATGCATCTTACGTACACATGTTTACGGGAGCACAGATTTGTATTTTAATGCATGATTAAAAAATTTGATTGTAGGATTTCAGCAATATTTACGATTTTTCTACGTCATTGAATTTTATTTCTCAATTAAGCGGACCGCGTCTAACGGGAACATGAATTGGAGCCGATTTTTGCAGGAATGAATTTCTATTTAAGAAGTTTGTACATCAGAAGGATTGCATTTTTTACAGTAAAATGTACAGGACTGAACTTCAAGGCGAAATGGGATTCCTCAAAGTAGAAGAAAAAAAAAGGGGGGGGGAGGTGGAGGATGGTGGACCTTGGTTGATAATTTAAGATAAGATGCATGTATACATCATGATAGCTGCAAAGTTTTAGGCTATAATTAGTTCATTTTGTTCATTTTATTTTTTCAGTGACATGGAACCCCTAAAACAATGACGCGTACCATTTTGAGAAAAACTTTCAAGTTATATCATGTCGCGACTAACATTTTGGTCAAATTTTTTTTATACGGCTTACGGTTTACGTGTTACAAAAACATAACGACAAATTAATTTGGTAAAGGCAGATAACTCCTTTAAGATCTCACTGGATCGCTCCGATCCAAATTAGGCAAAAATTCCTAAGGATGTACCAAACAATTTAGAAAAAGAATTTTGTTGATATCTTTTTTTGTTACGAAGGAGATGCACACAGATGATAAACAGTAAATAGGGAGATAACTCTTGCAAAGAAAATGGTTCGGCTTAGCAGAGTGAAATTTAAAAGCGCATAAACTATACGATACAATATGAGAAATATCTAAGCGACATATTGCGACACAAACATTTATCGCAAAAACAAAATTTGGCGGAAGAAAAACAAAAATTAAAAACCAATTGTTCAGAGAACAATTGAAGGTCTTTCCACATCAATTTTCAAAGTTATTGAAAAGAAGCTAGTTCCGGTTTACTCCAAGTTAGAATTGATATCCAATCATAAGTTTCTTCAAACTGATGCGATAAATGAATGGTTTCTATATACTTTTGAGTGAAATAAGGGAGATAATGTGCTACTTCCGCTGAAATAAACGTCACTTCCGGTCTCATTTGATAGCTTCTTTTACACTGATTCCAAAAATATATAGTTTCTATATACTTTTGCATGTAAAACAGAAGATAATTGGCAACTTCCGGTTTATCGAAAGTCACATCTGGTCTTTAGTGATAAGTTTATGTATTTATATTACAAAATATATCGATTCTGAGTACTTTTCCATGAAAAAAGTGAAAAAAAAGCTACTTCCGGTTTTCTTAAGGTCACTTCCAATTGACATTTTTCAAGGTCATATGTCACCAAATCTTTTGTAAAAGGTCATTAGGCTTTATAATGAACCAAGTTGAAGTAATAATCAATTAACCTTATAATTGGACATTTCAGGGGCACTAACTCCTATAAGATGCCATTACATTGTTTCAAACCAAATGTAACATATCTTCATTACAATAAAGCAAACATTTTGCACTTGTTCTTTCATATATATCTTTAAAAGTGTTGGAGAAAATGCAAAAACAAGGAAAAGTCAAAATTGAGAACTTGACCTTGACTTCATTTTCTAAGTTAGGACCTACGGATCTCAAATAAAAAGATTCCAGGGTTATACGGTTAAAGGTTTATGAGTTAAAAAAAAACATACCGACAATTTTTTTTGGTAAAGGTAGATAACTCCAATAAAATTTCATCGAATCGCTTCGATCTAAATAAGCCAAAAATTCTTGAGGATGTAACAAACAATTTAGAAAAAGAATTTTGTCGATATCTTTTTTTGTTACGAAGGAGATGCACACACTTGATAAACAGTGAATAGGGAGATAACTCTTACAAAGAAAATGGTTCGGTTTAGCAGGGTGAAATTGAAAAGCGCATAAACTATACGATACAATATGAGAAATATCTAAGCGACATATTGCGAAACAAACATTTATCGCAAAAACAAAATTTGGCGGAAGAAAAAAATAAAAATAATAATAATAATAATAATAATAATAATAATCAGAACAAATACAATAGGTCTTTCCACAGAAAAGTGGAAAGACCTAATCAAAAACCAATTGTTCAAAGAACAATTGAAGGTCTTTCCACATCAATTTTCTAAATAATTGATGAGAAGATAATTCTTGTTTACTCAAAGTTATTATTGGCGTCCAATCATAGGTTTCTTCATACTGATTCAATAAACATGGTTTCTATAGACTTTGCCTGAAATAAGGGTAATAATTGTCAACATCCGGTTTAGAAAATGTCACTTCCGGTCTCATATGATAGCTTTATTTACACTGATTCCAAAAATATATGGTCTATATATACTTTTGCCTGTAAAAAGGGAGATAATTGGCTACTTCCGGTTTAGAAAATGTCACTTCCGGTCTCATATGATAGATTTATTTACACTGATTCCAAACATATATGGTTTATATATACTTTTGCCTGTAAAAAGGGAGATAATTGGCTACTTCCGGTTTAGAAAATGTCACTTTCGGTCTCATATGATAGATTTATTTACCCTGATTCCAAAAATATATGGTTTATATATACTTTTGCCTGTAAAAAGGGAGATAATATGCTACTTCCGGTTTATAAAATATCACTTCCTGTCTCAAATGATAGATTAATGTATGACCATTCAAAAAATATATGGTTTCTATGTACTTCTACATGAAATAAGTGCAAAAATGACTACTTCCGGTTCACTCAAGGTCACTTCCGGTTGACATTTTTCAAGGTCATATGTCACCCAACAGTTTGCAAAAGATCTTATAGCTTTATCATGTACCAATATGAAGTAATAATCAATTTACCTTCAAATAAAACATTTCAGGGGCAATAACTCCAATAAGATGTCGCTGGATTGTCTCAGACCAAATGTATCATATCTTCATCACAATATAACAAACATTTTGCACTTGTTCTTTAATATATAACATTAGAAATATCGGAGAAAATGCAAAAACAAGCAAAGGACAAAATTCAGAACATGACCTTGACCTTTGACCTTGACCTCATTTTTGAAGATAGGATCCAAGGACCTTAAATAAAAAGACTATAGGTTTATACGGCTTACAGTTTATGAGTAACAAAAACATAACGACAAATTTATTTCATAAAGGTAGATAACTCCTATAAAATTTCATCGATTCCCTTCGATCCAGATTAGCCAAAAATTCCTGAGGATGTAACGAACAATTTAGAAAAAGTATTTTGTCGATATCTGTTTTTGTTACGAAGGAGATGCACACACTTGATAAACAGTGAATAGGGAGATAACTCTTACAAAGATAATTGTTCGGCTTAGCAGGGTGAAATTTAAAAGCGCATACACTGTAGGATACAATGTAACAAATATCTAAGCGACACATTGCGAAACAAACATTTATCGCAAGAACAAAATTTGGCGGAAGAAAAAAAAAATAATTAAAAACCAATTGTTCAAAGAACAATTGAAGGTCTTTCCACATCAATTTTCTAAATAATTGATAGGAAGCTACTTCTGGTTTAATCAAAGTTATTAATAGCATCAAACTATAGATTTCTTCATACTGATTCAATAAATAAATGGTTTCTATATACTTTTGCCTGAAATAAGGGAGATAATTGCCAACTTCCGGTCTCATATGATAGCTTTATTCACACTGATTCCAAAAATATGTAGTTTGTATATACTTATGCCTGTAATAAGGAAGATAATATGCTACTTCCGGTTTATAAAATGTCACTTCCGGTCTCAAATGATAGGTTAACCTATGATCATTCAAAAAATATATGGTTTCTAGGTACTTTTCCATGAAATAAGTGCAAAAAATACTACTTCCGGTTCACTCAAGGTCACTTCCGCTTTACTTTTTTCAAGGTCATATGTCAAAAAGACCCTATGGCTTTATCATGTACCAAGTTGGAGTAATAATCAATTAACCTTAAATTGAATCATTTCAGGGACAATAACTCCTATAAGATATCATTGGATTGTTTCAGACCAAATGTATCATATCTTAATCACAATTAAGCAAAGATTTTGCACTAGTTCTTTAATTTGTAATTTTAAAAGTGACAGAGGAGATCAAATAACAAGGAAAAGTCAAAATTTAGAATATGACCTTGACCTTTGACCTTGGCCTCAATTTCATTTAAATGAACCAAGGAACTTAAATCAAATTACCTTAGGTCTCTATCACTTACCATTCATGCTATACATTTATATATCCCTTATGTCAAATACAGAAGGGGAAATAACTCTCATATGGAGTTTACGTATCGCTTCGGTCAAAATTGGACAAAACATCCTGAGGATATAACGAGCAATTTGGTAAAATAAATTTGTCCATTTCTTTTACGGTTACGGAGGAGATGCACGCACAAGGGAAACAGTGTTCGGGGAGATAACTCCTACAAAGAAAAGTATTCAGTTAACCAGGGTCAATTTCAAAGGCGCATAAACTGTTCGATATCATATACGAAACATCTAAGCGACATCTTGCGAAACAAAAATTTATCGCAAGAACAAAATTTGGCGGAAGAAAAAAAAAAATAATCAGAAGAAAACCAATAGGTCTTTCCACAGAAAAATGGAAAGACCTAATAATAATAATAATAATAATCAGAACAAATACAATAGGTCTTTCCACCGAAAAGTGGAAAGACCTAATAATAATAATCAGAACAAATACAATAGGTCTTTCCACAGAAAAGTGGAAAGACCTAATAATCAGAACAAATACAATAGATCTTTCCACAGAAAAGTGGAAAGACCTAATAAATGGAGAGAAGAGGAAAGAAAAGAGGTGGGTGTGTGCCAGTGAGACATTTTATGATATATATGGTAAATTAGAATAATTAAAAGTGCACATTTACAATATAAATCAATTGTTTTAAAAACAATTGTCAAACGGTCTTTCCCCTCTGAAACATGATTAATTGGTTTTTTGGTTGGTTGGTTGGTTGGTTGGTTGGTTGGTCGACTGATTGATTGATTGATTGATTGATTGATTGATTGATTTATTGATTGCATGGCACTTTCTCTGTGCGACGCAGCTAACTTAAATAACGCCTATATTCTGACCGAACGTGACTGCGTACTTATACATCTCGAACAGCCAAACGGACGCCTGAGATGTCCTCATAAAAATTGATCCTAGCTTCATTCGTTTATTAATTTTCTCTAGTTTCTATGTTACCTCGGACTTCCATTTTTAATCTATTTGTTGTGTATGCATTTTGATTGAATTTGTAGGAAAAATGAGTAAATTTTATCTTGGAAGTTTTATTTTCCTTATTTGGATATGGAATGTTTTATTCTAAATTTAGGTCCGCGCGCGAGATGGTGTTGTGAAGTCACGTGACCCTCGAATATATATGTCTGGAGTTAGAATATTAATTTCTTTTCAGGGGAGACCGTTCAACAGAGCACATGTGTACTGATCGGACAAACATGATCACTATTGGTTTTATTATTTACAGGTCATTGATGACAGATCATGCATGCATCTTACGTACACATGTTTACGGGAGCACATATTTGTATTTTAATGCATGATTAAAAAATTTGATTGTAGGATTTCAGCAATATTTACGATTTTTCTACGTCATTGAATTTTATTTCTCAATCAAGCGGACCGCGTCTAACGGGAACATGAATTGGAGCCGATTTTTGCAGGAATGAATTTCTATTTAAGAAGTTTGTACATCAGAAGGATTGCATTTTTTACAGTAAAATGTACAGGACTGAACTTCAAGGCGAAATGGGATTCCTCAAAGAAGAAGAAAAAAAGAAAAAAAAAGGGGGGGGGAGGTGGAGGATGGTGGACCTTGGTTGATAAATTAAGATAAGATGAATGTATACATCATGATAGCTGCAAAGTTTGAGGTTATAATTAGTTCATTTTGTTCATTTTACTATTTCAGTGACATGGAACCCCTAAAACAGTGACGCGTACCATTTTGACAAAAACTTTCCAGTTATATCATTTCGCGACTAACATTTTGGTCAAATTTTTTTTATACGGCTTACGGTTTACGTGTTACAAAAACATAACGACAAATTAATTTTGTAAAGGCAAATAACTCCTTTAAGATCTCATTGGATCGCTTCGATCCAAATTAGGCAAAAATTTCTGAGGATGTAACAAACAATTAAGAAAAAGAATTTTGTCGATATCTTTTTTTGTTACGAAGGAGATGCACACAGATGATAAACAGTGAATAGGGAGATAACTCTTGCAAAGAAAATGGTTCGGCTTAGCAGGGTGAAATTTAAAAGCGCATAAACTATACGATACAATATGAGAAATATCTAAGCGACATATTGCGATACAAAAATTTCAAAAGTTGGCGGAAAAAAAAATAATAATAATAATCAGAACAAATACAATAGGTCTTTCCACAGAAAAGTGGAAAGACCTAATCAAAAACCAATTGTTCAAAGAACAATTGAAGGTCTTTCCACATCAATTTTCTAATAATTGATAGGAAGCTACTTCTGGGTTACTCAAAGTTATTAATAGCGTCAAAGTATAGATTTCTTCATACTGATTCAATAAATGAATGGTTTCTATATACTTTTGCCTGAAATAAGGGAGATAATTGCCAACTTCCGGTTTAGAAAATGTCACTTCCGGTCTCAAATGATAGCTTTATTCACACTGATTCCAAAAATATATAGTTTGTATATACTTATGCCTGTAATAAGGAAGATAATATGCTACTTCCGGTTTATAAAATGTCACTTCCGGTCTCAAATGATAGGTTAACCTATGATCATTCAAAAAATATATGGTTTCTAGGTACTTTTCCATGAAATAAGTGCAAAAAATACTACTTCCGTTTCACTCAAGGTCACTTCCGGTTTACTTTTTTCAAGGTCATATGTCAACCAACAGTTTGCAAAAGACCCTATGGCTTTATCATGTACCAAGTTGGAGTAATGATCAATTAACCTTAAATTGAATCATTTCAGGGACAATAACTCCTATAAGATATCATTGGATTGTTTCAAACCAAATGTATCATATGTTAATCACAATTAAGCAAACATTTTGCACTAGTTCTTTAATTTGTAATTTTAAAAGTGACAGAGGAGATCAAATAACAAGGAAAAGTCAAAATTTAGAATATGACCTTGACCTTTGACCTTGGCCTCAATTTCATTTAAATGAACCAAGGAACTCAAATCAATATACCTTAGATCTCTATCAATTACCATTCATGCTATACATTTATATATCCCTTATATCAAATACAGGAGGGGAAATAACTCTCATATGGAGTTTACGTATCGCTTCGGTCAAAATTGGACAAAACATCCTGAGGATATAACGAGCAATTTGGAAAAAAAAATTTGTCGCTTTCTTTTATGGTTACGGAGGAGATGCACGCACAAGGAAAACAGTGTTCGGGGAGATAACTCCTACAAAGAAAAGTATTCGGTTAAGCAGGGTCAATTTCAAAGGCGCATAAACTGTTCGATATCATATACGAAACATCTAAGCGACATCTTGCGAAACAAAAATTTATCGCAAGAACAAAATTTGGCGGAAGAAACAAAAAAAATTAAAAACCAATTGTTCAAAGAACAATTGAAGGTCTTTCCACATCAATTTTCTAAATAATTGACGAGAAGCTAATTCTGGTTTACTCAAAGCTACTATTGGCGTCCAATCATAGTTTTCTTCATACTGATTCAATAAACATATGGTTTCTATAGACTTTTTCCTGAAATAAGGGAGATAATTGTCAACTTCCAGTTTAGAAAATGCCACTTCAGGTCTCATATGATAGCTTTATTTACACGGATTCCAAAAATATATGGTGTATATATACTTTTGTCTGTTAAAAGTGAGATAATTGGCTACTTCCGGTTTAGAAATTTCACTTCCGGTCTCATATGATAGATTTATTTACACTGATACCAAAAATATATGGTTTATATATACTTTTGCCTGTAAAAAGGAAGATAATTGGCTACTTCCGGTTTAGAAAATGTCACTTCCGGTCTCATATGATAGATTTATTTACACTGATTCCAAAAATATATGGTTTATATATACTTTTGCCTGTAAAAAGGGAGATAATTGGCTACTTCCGGTTTATAAAATGTCACTTCCGGTCTCATATGAAAGATTTATTTACCCTGATTCCAAAAATATATGGTTTATATATATTTATGCCTGTAATAAAGGAGGCATAAATATATATAAACCAGATAAATATATATAAACGGAGATAATATGCTACTTCCGGTTTAGAAAATGTCACTTCCGGTCTCATATGATAGCTTTATTTACCCTGATTCCAAAAATATATGGTTTATATATACTTATGCCTGTAATAAGGGAGATAATATGCTACTTCCTGTTTATAAAATATCACTTTCGGTCTCAACTGATAGATTAATGTATGACCATTCAAAAAATATATGGTTTCTATGATATTCTACATGAAATAAGTGCAAAAATGACTACTTCCGGTTCATTCAAGGTCACTTCCGGTTGACATTTTTCAAGGTCATATGTCACCCAACATTTTGCAAAAGATCTTATGGCTTTATCATGTACCAATATGAAGTAATAATCAATTTACCTTAAAATAAAACATTGCAGGGGCAATAACTCCAATAAGATGTTGCTGGATTGTCTCAGACCAAATGTATCATATCTTCATCACAATATAACAAACTTTTTGCACTTGTTCTTTAATATATAACATTAAAAATATCGGAGAAAATGCAAAAACAAGCAAAAGACAAAATTCAGAACATGACCTTGACCTTTGACCTTGACCTCATTTTCGAAGTTAGGATCCAAGTACCTTAAATAAAAAGACTATAGGTTTATACGGCTTACAGTTTATGAGTTACAAAAACATAACGACAAATTTATTTCATAAAGGTAGATAACTCCTATAAAATTTCATCGAATCGCTTCGATCCAAATTAGCCAAAAATTCCTGAGGATGTAACGAACAATTTAGAAAAAGAATTTTGTCGATATCTTTTTTTGTTACGAATGAGATGCACACACTTGATAAACAGTGAATAGGGAGATAATTCTTACAAAGATAATTGTTCGGCTTAGCAGGGTGAAATTTAAAAGCGCATACACTGTACGATACAATGTAAGAAATATCTAAGCGACATAGTGCGAAACAAACATTTATCGCAAGAACAAAATTTGGCGGAAGAAAAAAAAAAAATAAATAATAATAATAATAATAATAGTCAGAACAAATACAATAGGTCTTTCCACCGAAAAGTGGAAAGACCTAATAATCAGAAGAAAACCAATAGGTCTTTCCACAGAAAAGTGGAAAGACCTAATAATAATAATAATAATCAGAACAAATACAATAGGTCTTTCCACAGAAAAGTGGAACAACCTAATAAATATAATACCACTAAAATATACTTAAAAGCAATAACAATAACGAAAATGAAAACAACAATAACCGGAGCAAGATGCATCAATAACAATGGGATATATCTTGTCGACGTCGATATGCCCTTTTTCTGCTTTAGAATGATGGTTGTTGTTGTTTCATTGACGTATACCAAATATTTGTTAGTCGTGTCTATATCCCGAATACAAATGATTGGAAGCAGCCAAACACATGAGGAATTTAAAACCTTACAAAAATATTGACCACCAACAATTAGTAGTAACATTAAACACATTTAAAAATTATTTATGGTTTGCAGCATGATTTATAATTTCTAAGATACGCA